TTTCTAAAATATCAAATGTCTTAAAATCAAATAGATAATTAATATTCACTGGTCAGTAATGCTAAATGGTTAGATGGATAACCAATCAAGCTGGGATGAATTATATGTGGCACCTTGGAGAAAATGACATGGATCTGTATACATATATGCATGTATGGCCTTTAGACTGGAAATAATAGAATAAAAATGGTTACTAATGAATAGTTATCTAAAATAAATATTTATTTAATAAGAAAGTACCTAGTTGCCTTTTATGAATTCAAGCTACCTACTTCAAATGAATGATGACCTCAGATCTTAAAATAAATGGCAGATGTTATGGCTGAACCACTGTCAATGATATTTGAAGGATCACAAGTAATCTATCAGGGAACTTGACAAAATCAAGAAAGAGGAGGAAATAAATATTTATTAAGCACCTATTATATGCCAGGTACTATGTTAAGCTCTTTAAAAAATATTATCTCATTTAATTAAAGGGCATATATTTAAATTGTCAAAATCAAAAAGTAGAAGAGAACATAGTCTGAAAAGGAGATAGTTCAGTGATCTTAGCTTCAATTACTGCAAAAATTGAAGATCAAATCATTAAACAGATGGTTGATGACCATCTAGAGAACAAAGTGGTGATTACAGAGAGCCAGCATAACTTTACCAAGAACAGATCCCATCAGAGTAACCTCACTTTTGGCAGAATAGCCAAACTAAAAGTTTAAAGAAACACTGTGATTAGAGTTTACTTAAATTTTGGCAAATATTTTGACAAAGTATTGCATATTATTCTTCTGGATAAATAGGAAATTTTTTATTAGAAATTAACATAATCAGATACATGCAAAACTATTGGCATAAATACTACATTCAAGTAATAATTCTAATGGTTCAATATTAATATATCAGATAGTTATAGTGGAGAGGATATATCTTAGGCATGGTGCTGATTATGTTTTTTTTTTCCAATGATAATAAGATGACCATAAGGTGTCATCAACTCAAGTATGAAGAACTTCTTATTCCTATTTTAGTGGTTTGCTAATAGGTGATGGTAAAAGCTCTCAAAAGTCAGGGGTCATGAACATGAAAATAGTTGATAGTGAGGTCTTTCATATGAGCAGATTACTTAAAACTTACTTAAAAAGGGGGTTGGACCAAAACTTCTCATTAATGAAATTGCCAAATTTCTATCATAAAGTGGAACTATTTGGCCATGAGAGCCTATTGATAAAGTATAGTAGCAAAGAATCTCTATCCTGAAAGCGTCAACTGAACTTTTCAAGTGTGCTCAGAAACAATCACATTCAGAGAGTAAGTTCTACCTCCACTGGAAGGGAGGGAAGAATTATCAAAGCCAAATGTTATTTGCTTTTCATTTCTGCCAAGGGCTGGCCCCAGTTCACACAAGGACTAATTGGAAGGTAGGTTTGTTCTTTCACTGACCAGAAACAATAATTGTTCTGTGTTGCCGATCCTCTGGTAAGGGACATTCCTTGGTCCCCTGGAGGGGGAGAGGCCATTCCCCAAGCCTTTGAACCTTGTCAACAATTTCATAATTGGACGCTCATCCAGGTCTAAGTGTTTATTGAAGAGCCATTCCTGAGAAGAGAAGAAAGGAACCGCACACTCTGGTTCAGTGGGACAAGTAAGATGCTGTCATTTTCCATATAGAGTTTTGAAAACTGAAATGGAGAATATTCTGTCTTTCTCTCCAAACAAGGGGAGGAACTTTACTGAATGTCTAAGATTCATCTGGGAAAGAGCATTCTGAGGAAAGTCATGGAGTGTATCCAGACAAGCAATTAGCATAGAAGATGCCATCCCAGAAGTCTCATCCAGATCCTATATTCTCAGGAATGCATAAGACACTCCCCCACTAAACAGAAGAATATGGGGAGAGTATGATGTGTGTATGACATATTGGATGTAAAAGCTTCCATTTGACATGGCTAAGGTAAGTTTTACAGTGTTTCTATTATATTTAACAGTCCTGGTAGTGTAGAACCTCTCCCTGGTCTCAGTGTGGGTATCCTCTCTTAGATGACTCCCTCTTTGGAAACTCTTCCATGATCTGCAGGGAGAGATGAAGCTAGAATGGAAATGTCCTCTTTACCAAAGCTTATCCAGACAGTTAATGTTCTCAGTCTAATGAATGAAAGCTTGCAAGTTGTCAGAAGGAGGCCCTGAGGTAGAAGGAAACAAAGTCTTGCACAGTGCTTCATTTTAGTAAGTCAACACCCATTACTCTCAGATTTTTCATCGCAACCTTTCAGACCTATGGCCCCCATATTAGAAAGGGAACAAGATAAATTATTATGACCTCTAAACAAATGTTTGGTAGTCAAGCAGATCCATTGCCTCTTTTGCTTAGCTAAAATATTATAGAAGTATGTAAAGAATCCCTGGAGTAAAGTGACTAGCTCAAAAGGGGATGAAATCTTTTCTCTTCACTCTAGCATTTCTCATCTGCTCCCCTTCTCTTGAAAATTCTATCTAGACTTTCATTTTGTTCATTTTTTGCTTTAATGTTAGGAAATGTGAGGCAGCTTATAAAGATATAAACAAATATTTGAAAGTCTAGAAGCATTCAGGATCTCTCTGATTTTATTAATTTTTATATATCCTCTACCTAGCTATCATCTAGCTAACTCACTATCCACACATTTTTCTGACTATCTGACAAGTATTATCTATTCATCTGAATATATGTGTATATGTGCATATACAATTATAAATTTCACACACATATGTTAATTTAGATGTCGATGAGTTTTATCCCTCTTTCTCCCCACATTGGGATGAACAAGAAAAATCTTTGAGTTCAGGTATCAACAATTATTCCTCTATTCCCTCTTCAAATTGACTATGGTAGATACTTCCCAGTAGAAAGAATAGTAGATTATTCAGAAAAGACCTTATTGATTATTAAAATAAAACAAGTCATTCTATAGATGGGGAAAATCATTCATCAAAAAAGAAAGTGACATACACCATCACACAGTAAGTTAGTTGCAGGAATAGGACTAGAATTCAGGTCTTATTACTCATATACACACACACATACACACATATATAATTTGATTATTGGTGGGTTATAGATGGCATAGAAAAGTTACTATATTGTTTTTATTAATTTGTTTTCACTTTTTCAGACAAATGGATCCATGGAGAATAAATGAATCAATGGCTACACTTTTTTTAATAATCTTTTTAATCAGTTCATTTTTTGAGAGGGGCTAATAATAACAGTAGAACATATGCCAAACAATTCAGATATGATTATTCCCTTTTTCAACAGACAAGGAAGACAGCATTGTCTCTGTATACAAATTAAGATGCTGAGATCCAGATCATCAGAATCCTAGATAATTATCCTTAATCTGAACTTGGGTGGGACTTCTTGTTTAGTTAAACTCAAGTACAGGAATTTACTTTACAAACGTTAAATTTTGGGGGGTATGTTATATAATGGATTCCTTTCTTGTATGGGATATTAAAGATACATGGAAATCCCTTCTAACTCAAATTCTTTGATTCTGTGATATGAATTCAGCCCTGCATCCAGCCTTTGGGAAGCTTTTAGACCTGAATGCTGTCATCTAATTTGTTAACTATCCTGCCCAGCTCTGTATCATTCACAGATTTGTTTAACATATCACTTCTGCCCTCAGCAAAGTCATCAAGAAGTATGAGAAATTATATTGGGCATTCAGAGCCATATGACCAAATTTATCCTCTTGGAACTTCCACAGGATATAGAGACACAGAAAACAATATTCATCAAATTGTTCTTCTAGCTTGTGATTTGGGGTAAGCTTGTTTGTTTTTGTGAATACAACCAAAGGCCCTTCCTTTTTTGGATCCACATTTGCTTTTTGGGTTATGTTGTTTCTCCTCTCTTTGGCCTTTCCAATTCTGTTATTTTATGAAGTAATGAATAACTCTATGCCCTGAAATTACCAAGTAATTATTTTTCACTGTATATCTAGACCCTTACATTGTATTAGTCTGTGCAAAGAAAGTACCTAATGCAGCAATCAGAGAAGCATAAAATCTGAGCCCACAAAGGGATCTCAGATGCCTCCCAGTACAATCCATAAATAAATATGAATCCTGATTCCAACATCCCCCCAAAGAGGTTATCTTTTTTGTAGCTCTCTAAAGACAACACAACTCTCACAAAACATCACATTCCAGTTTTGAATTGCTTTCATTGTTAAGAAGGTTTTGTTAAATCAAGAAGGAATCTTTCACTGAAACTTTAATCCTAAATGCTCCCAGTTCTATCCTGTGAGGCTAAACAAAAAAGTATGAACCCTTCTTATATAAGTCCAGAGACTTAGAATCATAACAGGACCCTAGTTCTTGTGTGCTTTAGTCAAAACATTCTCAGTTCCTTCAACTATCCTCCTGTGGACTAAACCTGAGGCCACTATTTTGGTGACCCTTCTGGGTTCATTCTCCAGTTTTCAACAGACTTCTTGAAATGTGTTTACTAGAACTGTCTTCTGTATTTGTTCTCTAATCATGGAATTGCTGACAGTGTTATATAATATGCATACATATCTACATACCATAAACATAAATGCAGACATATATATTTGGATTTCTACCTTCCCACTGACTTTTAAAACCTCTTGTGCAGATTAACTTGTCTACTTGTGGTGAATACATAACCTGGTTTACTGCCCACCACACTGACCGCCTGAAACTATATATGTATGTACATGAGATGTCTGGGAGTGTTTGTTGTACATTTGAAGAATTGCTTTTCTTCCGGTAATATTTCATTCATCCTACACCACATTTATCAAACCAATTTGTAACCATTTGTGCCCACATGCAGGGATATGGCATCAAAGCCTAAGGAAACATTTAGAAGCATCTTGGAGCACAAAGAATGTAAATATCATTTTATTTTCCTAGAATTACAATCTACATTGTAAAGAGCTCTTTTTCTCTCTTGGTTACAGGTCATACATATTCCATAGGAAACCAGCCTCTGTGTCAAAGTCATGGAAAATCAAAGCCAAGTGACTGAGTTCATTCTCCTGGGACTTACCCAAAATCCAGGTGTTCAGAAAATCATATTCTTTGTGTTTTTGATGCTCTATCTTGCAACCCTTGGGGGAAACCTGCTTATTATCGTGACCATTACTAGCAGCCCCTCGCTCTTTGCTTCCCCTATGTACTTCTTCTTGGCCTTTCTGTCTGTCTTAGATGCATGTTTCTCATCAGTCTATGTACCCAAGCTATTAGTAGACTCTTTTTTTGAGAAGAAAACCATCTCCTTTGAAGGCTGCATGACTCAGGTTTTTGCAGAACATTTTTTTGGTGCTGCTGAGATGATTGTTCTCACAGCCATGGCCTATGACCGGTATGTGGCCATCTGCAAACCTTTACACTATGTGACCATCATGAGTAGGCGTATATGTTTATTACTTGCAGGGGTGGCCTGGGCAGGAGGCTTCCTACACTCTATCATCCAAATGTTCTTCATTTTGCCATTACCATTCTGTGGCCCCAATGTAATCAATCACTTCTTGTGTGACTTGTACCCTTTGCTGGAACTGGCCTGTACTGATACACATGAGCTTGGATTTATGATGATAGCCAATAGTGGGTTCATTTGTATTTTAATTTTTTTCCTCTTACTTGTCTCCTATGGGGTCATCCTGTATACGCTGCGGATATACAGCACAGAAGGACGACGGAAAGCCCTCTCCACTTGTAGTTCCCATATTACAGTTGTGCTTATGTTATTCATTCCATGCATATTTGAGTATGCAAGGCCTCCCATCACTTTCTCCTTTGATAAGATGGTACAAATATTTTACACTATTCTGACACCTTTTTTAAACCCCTTCATCTATACCTTTAGAAATATGGAGGTAAAAAATGCCATGAGGCAATTGTGTTGTAGTAAAGTATTTTTTATTAAAAAATAAATTCTTGGAAATAACATTATTTTTCAAAAAGCATAAACAATGCCAAAGACTATTCTATTTTATAATTTTATACCAAGCTCACAATGAACAGACATATTTAGATATACACACATATAAGAATAATGATGTATATTATGTGCTTTATACAAGTGTATATCTACCTATATACATATGTGTATGTGATTATATTATATATGTGTCTGTAAATAGCTTAGTGGAATTGAATATGGATGATGAAGGGATGAGGAAAAATGCCTTTGGGCCTCCATATCTGTATCTATGCATGCATGTGTACATGTATATATATACCCAGTACCTTCCTACCTTTCTAGTCTTCATACAGGTTACTAGCCTTTTTTTGCTCTTCAATCAAGTCACACTGGCCTGGATATTCCATCAACAAGATGCTCCATCTCCTGACTCCAGGCATTTGCTCTGGCTGTCCCACATGTTTGCAATATTCTCCTCCTCATTTCCACCTTCTGGTTTCCCTGGTTTCCTTGAAGACCCAAATCAAATCCTAGTTTCTACAGGAAACCTTTCCCAAGTTTTCTGAATTCTAGCTCTTTCCCTGTTTTAATGGTTGCTTTTTTATCTCTTATACAACTTTTTCATACACTTTCCTTTGCTTGTTGTCTCCTCCTTTAGACTGTAAGATCCTTGAGGACAGTTATTGTTGTTGTTCAGTCATTTTTCAGTTGTGTCTAACTCTTCGTGACCATGTTTTGGGTTTCTTGGGAATGATACTAAAATGTTTTGATGTTATATGCTCTAGCTCACTTTAGAAATGAAGAACTGAAGCAAAAGAAGTTAAGTGTCTTGCCCAGGGTCACAAAGCTAGTAAGTGTCTGAGGCCAGATTTCAACTCATGATGTTGAGTCTCTGTGACTCCTGGCCTGACCCTGTATCTACAGTACCACCTAGCTGCCCCCTCCTTCAGAACAGGGACTATCTTTTGCTTCCTTCTATATAGAGTTTTTAGCACAATACCGGAAAGATTACCACATTTTTATATGTTTTGAAATGAAAGGGTTTGGAAATGGATGTCATAATAGAGGAAATAAATGAATAAGGAAACTCTGTCTTCTTTGTCTTCTTTGATCTACAGAAATATTTGAATTACCTCAGGGAAAATCATATTTGTGCAGTATGTTCTAACTCCCAAGGAAAAAGGAAAAATAATTATCAAAGAAAAGCATTGACCACATCACCCTTCAGCCAAAGTCTGGCTTCCAAATAGGCCAGGCTTAATTGATCAGGGACTTTGGCTTTTGCTGAAAAATGTGATTTGTCTGTGTAGACAATTCTCTCATTTCATAAGTCTTGGAGACCAAGAGGCCTTTCCTCCAGTTCCTGGACTTTGATAAGATTGCCAACAACTCTCTGATTGACTTCAAAATACTTTTTTTTACTCTAAATAATCCTTACAGAAGCACAGCTTGGGAGCAGACAGATGAAACCTCAGAGTTGCTGCCACAGTATATGAGAAATTCATCCCTTTTCTTATGAAGTTTTGAAAACACGAAAGTGTGTATTCCTATTTCATGTGTAGACAATGGAAGTAACTCCTTGGAGAGTTTACCCTGAGACTTCTAAGAAGAAAAGTTTTAAGGACCACCTTGAATTAATCCTTATCACTCCATATTTTTTTAAACATAGTAGTTAGTCTCACAGAGGGACATTTGACATAATGGTTCTTAGAAAGTCTTACAAAACTTCTCTGTGAAGTAGGTATGAATTGAGGTGGTGAAATTTTCATGTCTGTCATATGGTAGGAATGATCATTCCCATCTAAGTTGTCCAATGCAGTGTTTTTCTTCCTTTCTAAAATGTCTCAACCTTCATCACATAAAACATGACTGACCTCAGTGTCTATGCCCTTATCTAGCTTAGACTATGGAGAATCTTCCTTGATATTCAGTTATGGAATGTAAAGCAAAATGGAAATGTTGTCTAAATGGAAACTTTTTCAAATGCCAATATAACTTAAACATTAGGGAAATCAGTGTTTCACAACATGTCATTGAGGCAGAATAGGACAGAAAAAGCTTATAATCCATAGAATAGCATATTTGTACGATTTGTTCTCTACATGACCACTTTCCTGGATTCTGAAAAATCTGTAGGGATACATCATAGAAAAGGAAAAGGGAAATCCTGTGAGACTCAACTAAACATTTGTTGATTAAGACTCAGTATCTTCTTTGTTTGTCAGTAATTCTTATATTTTTGGCTCCTGCCTTATGGAGGGGGATGGGAGAATAAGAGAAGCAATAGGATTCCTTTGTGATATCATGAAATCTTCTTTCACCTTGAGAATTTCCTCCTGCTCCCTCTGCTCCCAACTGTCCCTCAGTCTTTCCAGATACTCCTCTTGCTATTATTCCCCTTTACCCAGGATATCTAATTATGCATAGATGCTGCTCCCTTTACTCTTGCACTTTTAATGCATGCATGTTGTTCCCTTCTCTCCTCTCTTTCAAAGGACAGTTTAGACCTGGGATGGGGAACCTGCAGCCTGGAGACCGCATGTGACCTTCTTGATCCTTGGAGATGGCCTTTTGACTAAGTCCAAGTTTAACAGAACAAATCATTTTATTGAGGGGATTTGTTCTGTGAAGTTTAGATTCATTCAAAGGGCTGCACGTGAAGACCTAGAGGGCTATATATGGCCTTGAGCCTGCAAATTCCCCACATCTGGTTAGACATTGAGCAGCTAACTTTGCTGGGTAAAACATCGTTTGCAATCATCATCTCTGTTATCATTATCAATCATTTAAATTTAACTTAAAATTTTCAAAGTTATTAACATATATTATTTTAGTCAATCTTCACAAGGATTCTGTGAGAATTTGGGAGAGGGCGGGGCTAGGCAATGGGGTTAAGTGACTTGATCAAGATCACACAGATAGTAGGTGTCCAGTGTCTGAGGCTGGATTTAAACTGAGGTCCTCCTGACTCCAGGGCCAGTGCTCTATAGACTATGCCACCTGGGTGTTCCTTGAGAATTTTTTTAAACAGATGACAAAACCAAAGCTGAAAGAAAGCTAGTGACTTGCACTACATTAAGCTATCCTGTAGATAAATAATGAGATAGAAGTTTAAATGGAAGATTGGTGCAAATATGAAGCAACTCAAGTGACTGAGTCAGGATATTGGACCCTACAAGATCATCAGTGATAGTTACTGTTACTTTTCCAGCAGCATTCACCACCAAACATTTGAATTGTCAACAGGCAGATAAATGACTGATGTAGAAGTTTAGAAAGATTTATCAGACAACAAAGATAAAATTGATCCTAACTGCTTGAATTCAAACTTTACATTAATGTCTGACATCCATTTAGTACTTTAAAACTTGAAAGCTCTGGGAGAGTGTGGGTATGAAACTGATTGATTTTATATGACTTATTGTTGCATAGCCAACAAAGCTAAGACTTTGAATACATAAACCCGCATATATTCTTGACTACAGGTACAGTATTTTATTCAGATTGTGTTATTTCTTACAAAATTCAGTCAAATCACTCTCTGTATATGTTTTTCAAAAAAACCCTTTGGGTTTCTAATTTGATTTCAATCACAATTTTATTAGGTAGGTCATATAGTTAATAATAATTCAGATTTTTAATTAATGGATGAGATTTGAAGCA